CCATGGGACCTATGCTTCTTTGGGCCTGGCTTACTGCACTTAATATAATTTTTTCCAAGTCTTTCCATTTCCTAACAAATGGGGCAATGTCATTCTTTCTCATGGAGGCATAGAATTCCATTTTCTTGATCCATTCATCTACTGAAGGGCATCTGGGTTGGCTCCACATCTTAGCTTGGTAAATAATGAAATGAACTCCAGAAAATGGAAGTGAGTTTCTTCCTTGTTGCTGCTTTTATTTTATTTTCTTTTTGTCTTATTTGGTCAATCAGTCTTTGGGAGGGTAAGGGGAGGAAAAGAAATGGAGGGACAAAGGGAGAACAAATGCAGCAGCTGATACTCATGAGATGCTAGGACACTATATTGAACATGAGAACTATACAATTTGTCTGTGGGAATGGGAGAGAAAAACTGGGAGAGAGCGAGGTTGACATTGAGTTGACATTGTTCAAGAAGAAATGTACTCTTTATCTAACTTACATAATTGGAACCCCTTTGTACATCACCTTTACAATAACAATAAAATAGTAGTAAATATAAAAATAGAAGGAATTTTTACAAGTCAAATGATAGAGGTTTGGAAAATGGACAATGTATTTGAACAGATGTCTTTTCAAGGAAGACATACAGTTGCCCAAAAGGTATAGGAAAGATGCTGATTAACACTAATCAGAAGAGAAATGCAAATATAAACTCACAATAACCTATCCCAGCACTGTTAGGATAGCCAATATGAAAAAGATAAAAGATAAGAATTGTGAGAGAGGATGTGGAGAAAATAGAATGAACCCTGACATACTATTGATGAGAAGGTAGCATGATATTTCCACTGTAGAAAACTATGCAAAAAGTTTTCAAAACAAAAAACAAAAATATGATATGACCCAGCAATCTGAGGGCTTGTATCTAAAAGAATGCAGAGTGCATGGCCTGGAGATATCAATTGTCATGTGTTCTTTGTAGCATTATTCATTATAAAAAATGATGGATATAGCCATTGCTATACTCATAGACGAATGAGTAAAGAAGTTGAGGCATATAGATGAAATGGGATATTTTTCATCACAAAAAAGAAGGAAATTTTACTACTATAGACTTCAAGAGTCAACTTTTAGGAAAAGCTGTGTTGGCAGACCAGTCTGATTTGTCTTTCTATTACTTTCAGATACTGTTGCCAATGATGTGTATGTTTTATGTGAATTTTGGGCCAATCAGGTGAGTTGCACATTTTCATGAATCTTAGATGTTAGAATTTAGTACATATTTATAAATATGTTTCTAATTTCATTTGTCTAAATGACTATAGGTAGGCATTTTTCCACTTATGATTTAATTTTCAATAATTGCATTGTCTGTGTTATCTAAAAGAGGCAATAGGTAATAGATCAAAATAATAGTGTGTTCAGTATGGTTTCCTAAAATGTCTGTGCATATATTTATTATCTAAAGAGCATTATTAAAATAAGTTCACTGAACACACATAGCTAGAGAGCTCATGGGCATCAGGGCCTGAGGAGTATGTGGTCTCTGGTGGAGCTTTGGAGAGACAAGAGAATATGAATACTAGAGATCCAACTTCGTGCCTAATTATGCTTCACTGTTTTGCAGACCCACCTGGATGTCACTATTTCCAAAGCAACCTACAAAGATCCCCATAACTTAGCATTTCAAGAGATTAAAATTCTTGGGACTCAGGTACTGAGCAGCATCACAGTGAAACAGCATGGTGTCTTAACTCCAATGTCTCCCAACGTCACTTATGATGCTAACCTGAGGGTAAGAGCATTAAGCTGAAGTGGTTTTTCAAGAAATTTTTTAGCATCAGGTTCTGCCAAATTCTAGGTTTTCAGGGAGAACCAGAGTCCTGTATGCGGCAAGTGATAAGGCTTGTGTGCTGGGCAGGAAGGTGAAACTGAGGAGCTGGTCTGGGCCTGAAGACCTGGGGTGCTGCTGAGAGAACAGAGAGAAAGTCAAGCGAACTTTATGCTCACTTCCTTCTCTGCCCCTCTGTGTTCTCCTGTTCTCTCTGTTGTCCTCATTTCCAATGAAGTAGTTCTATGGGTAGAAGAACAGAGCCAGGCTTCCTCAGGGGATCCTGGGAGGGTCTGATTACCCAGGCTGTGTTGGGTGTGGAGAGGTGGGTGGAGACCTGCAGGAAGTGCAGGATGATTTTAACTGGGAGAAGATGACAGTCCTGTCAATATGACTTTATGGCTCCAGGATACTTAGTTTGCTAAGCATAGACAGTGTTATTTTAAAAAATAGTCAACCCATATAACAATAGGCATTGAATAATTCATTGATGGTTGAGATTCAACTGAAAATGGATTCCCGTTTTAGGCAGAGGGTTTTGGCATAGCAAAGAGGGTGTAGTGTTAGAAATGAAAGGCAGACTGAGAATTCCAACTCACCATTTTCCCAGTGTTACATCCAAGAGCCAAAGAATCAAAACTTTGTGCAAGATTACAGATGAAAGTTTAGGAAGAGAAAGGAATGAGAACCAAGGTCATATGTGCTTATTATTCAGTTCTTTTTAGTAGCTAAACACTTTAGTTACACAGATTTGGAAGTGGAGAAGAAAAACAGATTAATTTTGAAAGAGTAACAGAGACTTTCTGAAAATAGCAACAAAAGAAAGCAAAACAACAACAACAACAAAGAAACAAAACAGAATGGGGAGAGTGTTTAGAGAAACAACCAGAAGGGATATTATTTGACCTAATTCTTTCCACAATGTAATTTACAAGGTTCTGATACTTGAGTATTGATATTTGAGTACTGATAGTTGAGTACTGATATTACATCTTGTCAGTGAACCATCACCAACCTGGGTAATACACCTCCTTCTGTAATGTCTGGGAATATGTCTCTTGCATCAGTGGGAATCTGGTCTCCTTTTAAAGATTCAGGACTCAAGCTTAGATCTGTCTGACAGACACTACTCAGTTTACGGAAGGCCTCTGTCCAGTGGACTTATTTCCATGTGCATTCCCACAGGTTGCTGTGATCACAGGAATCCATCTAGTCCTGGGAGAAGCATACACGGTGCAGTGGGAAATGGGCATAAGGGACCAGGAGAAGATAGACTGTTATCCCGATCAACATGGAGCTACTGAGGCCAACTGCACGGCCCGAGGCTGCGTCTGGGAGGTAACTGCACTGAAAACTGCATTGTAACTTCCCCGAAAGCTCTGAACCTCATCTGTAATGCATGAGCTCTGCACCTCACCTGTAATGCATGAGCAAACACCAGTACCTCAGTATCCACTTAGAATCCATGTGAAGAAAGGGCTCCCCAAGACACCTCATCCAGATGTGAAGACAGGAAGAGAAAAGAGTGGGACATTTTAATAAGTATTTTCTTGTTATAGAAATTTAAATTCTTAGCACTATCCAATGGTCCAGGAATGATGGGATGGCCTTTCCTAGCCCTTGCTACTTGATATCTCTAGGCCCACATGCTGATGCACACTCTTGACTTTCCTTCTCAGGCATCCAGTATCCCTGGGGTCCCACACTGCTACTTTGTGAATGATCTGTATTCAGTCAGCAATGTGCAGTATAACTCCCATGGGGCCACAGCTGACATCTCCTTGAAGTCTTCTCCTTATGTCACTGCCTTCCCCTCCACACCTGTGAGCCCCCTGCGCCTGCTCGTGACCTACCACAAGAATGAAATGCTGCAGTTCAAGGTAAACACAAGGCATGATAGTTCAATTACTCTTCGCTAATCAGGATAACGGAACCAAAATACTTTCACTTTGTAGAGTTCCATTTTTCAATAGACCAGATCATAATCTTAATCTAAAAGTGAGAAATCCTTGGTAGGCCAGTTAGAGTTTCTTGTTACAAGTCTTGAGATGATTACTGTGGCTACAATGGGAATGGTACAATGTTTGATAAGAAATGTACTCATTATCTTTTCCAAGTAATTGTAACCCTCTGTACAGTATTTTCACAATAAAAATAATAAGAAATGGAGAGATAAGGTAAGAGACTCTCAGGCTGGATGGTTGAGGGATAGAGGTAGTACTAGGTCCAAGAAAGAAGAGAAACAGATAGTTCAAGAATGACAGGAGAGAAGACAGCAAGACTTGGTAACTGATGCTATGTAACAGATGAGGGAGAACACAGGTTCAAGAATAAAATTACATGTATCTAACATGTATCTGTGTGGAAATTGCTGAAATTATCTGAAGTAAGGGAAATGGTTTGGGTTAGACAATATTAGAAGATGAATGTAGTTTTAGACACTGTATATATATAATATATAATACATATAAGAAGTGACCACCAATGTACAATGGTTTCCTTGTTTCTATAACTTAATTACATCTAAGGACAGGAGTAGACTATCGTACAATAGTTTCACTATTAAAATAGGATATTATGTTTTGTATCTTCTTCTTAGCACTTTTGATCCAACACAGAAGCTAGCAGATACTAAATGTAAATAATAGTTTTAGTACTATAACAGAAATGTTTATTTGTAACAATTCTTTGTATAGCAAAACAACAAATTGTATACATCCTATCCACTCACCTAAATCCATTAATTTTGGTCTAGATTTTTGATCCCAACAACAAGCGATATGAAGTCCCAGTCCCTCTGAACATCCCCAGCACTCCATCCAGCTCTTCTGAGGCCCGACTCTATGATGTCCTCATTAAGGAGAATCCATTTGGGATTGAAATTCGCCGCAAGAGTACAGGCACTGTCATGTAAGTGGCCCTGGTTGGATTGGGGACTGGAGGTTACATGAACATCCCTGCCAGGGCCTCCGTGGTTAGAGATGCTCTGTCTGAGAGATTCCCACTGTGCGTTCCAGGCCTAAGACTATCAAGGTTCTGTTAAGGTCTGTTCTTGTAGGCAGTCTTTGCTCCATGAGACAACTACTGAGTCAGTGGTTGTATCTGAAAACTCCTTCAACAATTGTTTATTGGATGCTTTCTGTGTATAGGGAGTGGTTTAAGGTACTGTGGTTATATGCAGCATGGCATATCCATTGATGAATGAAAAGTTAGTTTACATTGTAACATAATTTGGAAGTTGAAACAGTGAAAACTGTGCAGAACAGTTCCAGTTCAGGTTTATCAAAAGTTATTAGATGTTGGGGCTGGGAAGGTGGCTCAGTGGTAGAGCGCTTGCCTTACATGCCTGAGGCCCTGGGTTCGATTTCTCAGCACCACATAAGCAAAAAGAAAAAAGCTGGAAGTGGCCTTGTGGCTCAAGGGGTAGAGCACTAGCCTTGAGCTGAAGAGCTGAGGGCAGAGTTCAGGCCCCACGACCGGACCCCCCCCCAAAAAAAAAGTTATTAGATGTTGTTGCTTTTGTTATTGTGGTCTGAATCATTCTCTCAACCATAAGACCTGGCTCTTGTTCTGAATGCATGTCCTCATTAACACAAAATTTTATAGTATGGAAAGGTTTGGAAAATGAAGGTATTTTTAATTTTGACCAAATTCGGAGAATGAAATTCTAATCTATCTTGGCTATTGTCATAGTATGTCACAAGTTACAAAAAATATCACAGAATATCCACAAAGAATGCTTCCATAAATAGATAGCCTTTCTATATCCACAAAGGGTGCTTCCATAGATAACCTTTCTTCTGTTCTTAGGGCACCTGGGACTTGCCCTTCCTCACTCACACATGCAATTTTCTGGAGGAACCTTTATTGTTAGGGCTCAAGTTACATGAGGATGAGAGAACTGACCTAGGAGCTGGATGGGGGGAAGAAGTCACCACTTGAAGCTCAGGGGGAAAGGAAAGAACCATTGTGGTAGAACAGCAAGTACCTAGGCCAGGACAGGAAGGATCTTCACATACCCAGGGATACCAGACATTCCCCTGTGGTGTGTGAGGACAGCTGGGCTGTGAGGTGGATTTGGAGGAGGCAGAGCTGTGAAGGCGTCATGAGGTGTTTCTGGGACACACTAATGAGACAGTAAATAGAGGAACGTGAAGATGGGTGGTGTGTGTGAACCCTTCCTTGTAGATGTGTGCAGGCAGTGCGCCATCAGGAGCAAGAGCAGGAGGCAGGGTGTGTTGCTGTGTCAGCGGTGGAGAAAAATGAGGCACTGGTGGAGGTAACAAGAATAATGAAAGGTGACTAGTGAGCATTTAGGAAGGGTCTCCATGCTTGTTTTGTCTGAATGGACTTTGTGCTTTTTTGGACGTGAGTGTGTTCTGTGAGGTGGGGGAGAGCACAGGTTCAGCTGGGCTGGAAGAGCAGCTGCCAGAAGGAAGTCCAGGGGAACTCACTTCCTTGTCCACCTTGGCCTTTGCCTTGCAGCTGGGACTCTCAGGTCCTGGGCTTCACCTTCAATGACATGTTCATCCGCATCTCCACCCGCCTCCCCTCCCAGTACATCTATGGCTTTGGGGAAACGGAGCACACGGCCTATAGGAGAGACTTGAACTGGCACACGTGGGGCATGTTCTCCAGAGACGAACCCCCGGGGGTAAGGACAGAGCATTTGCAGATCTACACTCACTTTGCTGCACCCACACTGCATGCCTGTGAAGCCCTATGGGTACCTCTGTGCTTCCTCTTCCCTGACTGCAGTGAATCATCCCCTTCTGCTTCTGTCCTGGGGACCATTCCTCCAGCTCCTTTGCTCTCATGTGTTGAAGTTAGTTGCAGGAGAATGTAGGCCCGTGAGTTTTTGTTGACGTTCCTTCTCAGATGCAATGTCTTCTCACTCTACCCACTTCTCCCCATGACTCTCAGTACAAGAAGAATTCCTATGGCGTCCACCCATACTACATGGGCCTGGAGGAGGACGGCAGTGCCCACGGAGTGCTCCTGCTCAACAGCAATGCCATGGGTAGGCAGATGCTTGTGCACCCTCTGTGTTTGTATTAATTATTCTTAGGTACATTAGATGTCCGTGACCATGCTGCTCATATAGGAATGTTATTGTAGCAGTGTTTTGTGCTCTTTCTTCTGTTTACTTTACTCTATACAAATGAGATTAAAAGATTAGCACAAGTATAATAGTTTTACCTCTTAAGGGATAGGAAAACCAAGCTGGGTTCTATTACTTGTGGGTGATTAAACTTACTTGAACCATCAACATGTGAAGAAAAGTTGTCTAGAAAATGATTGGACAATACAGAGGCTAAAATAGCAGTTTGTCAGTGGAAGTTTCCCAAGTTTAACAATTCGCAATATTTAAATATGGTATTATCCTTTGAGAAAACTGGGTCAAGTCTTCATGGACACCATCATTCAAGTTTTGTGAGTTTTAAGCTATTCTTTCTTTCTTTCTCTCTTTCCCCTTCCTCTCTCCCTTCCTTCCTTCCTTCCTTCCTTCCTTCCTTCCTTCCTTCCTTCCTTTCTTTCTTTCTTTCTTTCCTTCCTTCTTTCTTTCTTTCCCTCTCGTCCTTCCTTCCTTCATTGCTTCGTTGGTTCCTTCCTTCCTTCTTTCCTTCCTTCCTTTCTCCCTCCTTCCCTCCCTCCCTCTTTTCTTTCTTCCTTCCTTCCTTCCTTCCTT